CTAGACACAAGAATGAAAATAATTCATCCACTTGACAGGACCACCTCCTGAGCACCTGCTGCTCCTGTCCTCTCTTCTGGGTACTCCTGTGCTCCTCTCCTCTGGGTGCTCCTGCCCTTCACTCCCTGCTCCTGCCCTCTCCTCTGGGTCTTCCTGTCCTTCATGCTCCTGTCCTCCTTTGGGTGCTCCTGTCCCTCCTCCTCCTCCTCTTCTCTAGGTGCTCCTGTCCCTCACCCTCTGCTCCTGTTCTCCTCTCCTCTGGGTGCTCCGGTCCTCTCCTCCTCTGGGTGCTGTGGCTGCTTCTTTTTGGCTGCTCATTTGCCATCAGGGCGCAGTTGTGTGTGCACATGTCTCACTTGTGTCTCTGATCCTCTCATCTCCTCACAGGACCACAGAAATGCTGTGTTTATGTTTCACACAAACAACACCCAGCGTTCTCTGTTTACCGTTTATTTCATTCCTTCACATGATTCTCCTTTGGCTATTTGAGCACAGTTAAATATGGAGTGTGTGTGTGTGTGTGTGATGTAGTGTCACCTGCACACATCTGCACCCATCTCCACACATGTGGCTGTGGTTTAGAGTGACCACTTGAAATTGTAGAAAGAGGGTCTTGAATTATGTACTAAGACATGGAGGGAGAGACTGGAAATGTAATCTCATAGATAATATTACCAATAACATCCTATGATTGGTGTTATTGTAAAAGCAATGGGGTTTCAATATATTACTGAATGCCAGCATACCCTAAAGTCTTGATTTCTTTGCAAAAATTAAAATAAGATAAAACCTCACTTTTTATAAATCAAGTGACATCAGTGAAATAGTGGGACATTCTCTAAATAAGTGGGATGAAGGACAGGGATCTAAATGTGCAGGACAACCAGAAGAAGGACAGGTGCTCACCCTGTTGTGGTCCAGTGTCTGCACCTGGTCTGGTTTCCCTGAGGGTTCATGGATGTGACAGAAGTACTGCCTGCCTGTCACTATAGTTTTTTATTTCGGATTGATAGAACCAATAATTCATGAGATATTTGCATTTTAGTTTGTGCTTTATATTAAGCCTAAATAAATGCAAATGAATTCGCTCTCAGAAGAAACACGTGCGATGTCTGTGCTCTAAATGAGGTTTCACTCATAAATGGTGAGAACAGAGCTGTTTACTTGGATTATAATGATGAGAAGCACCAGAGGAGAGAAAAAAGAGAAGAAAAGAGAGAGAGGAGAAAAGGTGATGAGCTGCGGCTGATTCAGAGGGTGGAGAGTGAGTGCAGACGGCACACAGAGGCAGAGTGAAGGAAACACTGGACTTTTAGTCAAACTGCAGATTTTAGTCAAATTATGAAAATATGAGGACACGTGAGGACACATGACTCCTCTACATTACCACATGCTTTTACCGCCACAGGACTGACTTTAGATCTGTTGATTAAAATGCTCTTACCTTATCATCAAGATCGACCAAAGTTTGGGTCATGATCTGTCAATCTTTTCATTTTTTTCACAGTCCTAATTCCACAGCATGATTAGAATTGGTAGGAAGATAATGATAATAAAAAGGAATTAAGAGCTTAAAGTGTGTAGAAGAAAAAGACATCTGGGGATTTTTTGTCCTTCATGTTTGGAGCACATTCACAAAACTATTCAAACTATGTTGTTTGTTGTCGAATAAATACTACATTTTCCACATACTATCATCTGTAGTTGTTTACAAAACCGTGAGTGCCCTGTTACGCACTTTGTCATTGGCTTTATTGAATATATTATTGTCTTAAGATGTTTTGGTTATAATAAAAGTTTAGACATAAGTGTTTTGTGACGATGATGCTCGAGTATAAACTATGTATTTCTCAATATCTCTAATTAAACAGAGCGTCACTGCATGTACATCTGCGTACAGAGAGATTCTTCTCCTTGGCACTCGGGGCTTTGTTTTGTTATGGGGCAGTAGTGTAAGTGCTAACACATGTCCAATCCTCAAACTGTTGGCACCGTGGAGCAGCCAAAGGCCAGAGGGAAACTGTGCGTGTTCAGTGAGGATTTTGACGTCTTCGTATTTTCCCTGACATGAAATGAAGTCAGAAGAAGGTCAATACATTCGTAAGAAAATGACACGTCTAATATAATGGACTTGTTCCATTTTCCATTGCAATAATTTTGATGTCCAGTTACGTTTGGCTTTGCAGAATCACTGGAGAAAGCTAATGTATGTTCTCACAGTCATTTATTTAACTATGAGAAACACGCAGAAATGAGGAGCAGTAGACTGTTGCTCAGAGCCTAGCTGGAAGAGATATTGTTGGGTTTAAGAACATGTAGATTTGAAGATGTCTCTCCCCCATGATCTTTGATTCTGGTGAGAGGAAAAGAGATCGAGAGGCTGGTGAGGCTTATGGTTCTGCTGCTGTGGTGAAAGTTAGGACATGTGATTGGTTGAGAAGCTGTAGCAGGCAGAGATTGGCTGATGGCAACTCAGATTTCACAAGGTAGGAAATATAGACTTCCTGGGTAAATTTTGATTTCAATTACTCGGAGCTTGGAGTTTGTGCCTGATCTCAATCATACATCGCGTACACTCACATGCCTAGTTGTGACGGTCCCTGTTGTTTTGTTGTTGTATGGTAACTGATGTCTGTTTTTGGAGGTTTCCCAGTGCATTCAGCCACCTATAAAAGAGACTCATTTTCTGCTGTTCCTCTGGCTGTTCCACTTGACCACACCAGGCCTATCACCACAACGCACTTTAGCACAATTTGCATTATTATTATTATATATTATTTATTGTTAAAGTATTTAATAAACACTCCCACACTTAAGCCTTTACAGTTGTGTCTGCCACCTTACTTTGTTGCAGACACATGAGCCGCGCTGTAACCATCAGATATCAGATAACCCAATTATAAGATCAGATTTTTTGGTGTGTCTTTACGTACACTAAAGAAATTTGATCATGAAAACACCTAGTGGCATGTGTCAGTTAACTCTTTTAGACAATCAGTTTTAACTCTTCAAATCTTTAACGTGTTCTTTTTCATTTTAGAAGATTGAAGATTGTGAATTGTTTAACCATTTACATTCCATTTTGATAATCATATTTTTAGTATGTGTGTTATAGCCACGGTCTCTGCTGCTGTATTTGACGCACATAAACCCAGTAGCCAACAGATTCATCTTTTTAATCTCTGGACAATCTACCAGTAAAACCTGCTGTAATGACAGAAACATGAACTTTCCCCTCCGAGACCCAGTATGTATTTTACATCAAGTGTCTTCTGTCCTCACTCTGTTTTGCCTCATCAACACAGCGGAGCTCAGGAGGAGGACTTGTGCCAGGAAAATATCCAACTATAGCTTGAGCTTTTTTTAGTTTACCAAAAATGTTTGACCAATTCTTGGTTCTTATCATTTAAAGTCTTGTTTTGCAGTAGGCTTCTTGGCTGTTCCCTTTCTAGTCCTGTTTCACTACATCTATAAATCTCCTTACAGGACTTAACCACAGTTTCCTTGTAGCTCTATATTCTCAACATGTTAAAACCATCTCAGTCTGGTCTCACTGACGTTATCTTCAAAGAATCCAGCATGAACTGTTCTTTTACTGTAGAGTTGTTAAAAAATGTCACCCACATACTAATCAGAGCAATTCAAAATACATATATAGGACAAAAATCGACAATTCCTGATAAGTTTAAGAATGATGTGGATCTATAGCAGAACTATAATGCGACCTCATGGTATTATTTTATATACTATGAATTCTTTGTGGTGAAAATAAAATTATATTGTCTAAAAGGACAGTTTTTAATATCATAGTACTATCAAAATTGCTTAAAGGAATAGCAATTTTAACCTTTCTACCATGTTAAAACGTCCCCTCATCAAAAACAGGCCTGAAGAGGTTTTAGATGTTATCCATGCATGTTTCAGTAATTCTGAGATCTCCCCCAGGCACTATTCAGACCCTCCTTACAGTTAGCAGTACATTTTTTTTTCCAATGCTCAGCCCACAAGTCTATATCATACATGTTCCCACATGACAACTGTCCATATATAAAGAAAAACGTGATACAAAACTGTACACAACAACTTGACAAACCTGATGTGATGTGCCATAGTTTCATTATTAACAGGATGCACAGTGATTATGTTGTGATAGTGCTCTGAAGGGGGAGTGACTTAGGAAGGGGAGACTCAAAAGTGATAAAACATATGAATTTGTTGCTTTTGGTGAATATGGAATTTTCAAACAATTAAAGATAACATTGTGATTTAATTATGTTATATGTTAGCAGTTAATACCCCATAAGTCAAATAGCCCCTGTTTAATATTGAAATTGATTTTGAAATGTAGTGAAGTGACAGCGCGGCTGTGTTATATGGCTGCATTAATTCAGCTGTCATTTTAAGTAATTTAATTTATTATAACCTATATAGGGCAGCAAAAGTTCTAAAAAAGAAAATGACATTTATAATTGGTGCTTTTATTGTGAAGCCACCAGATTAGGTTTTATTATGAATTCTCTATTATAATTGTATTTAATCCTATTCGATTCTCCATTACAGTTTTCAAAACCCTGCACTTTTCACTTACTTGAAGTTTCAATTTGTAGCTGAAATCTTAAATTGGCGCAGTAATTCCTCAAGTGCTGAAGTGCAAATTTGACACCATTCAGTCCAAGTGTAGTGTGAATAACTCTATTAAAACTACTGTAAAATGCCTTGCGATTTCTATGGTATCCTTCAATTTGTTACACGGAAGCTGGACCCGATCTCAGGGATTATGGAAAATGACTTTGGACATTTTTTCCACCTCTGCAAAGCGAGAAGTGTCAATATCCCTGCCAAAACCAATACTCAGCGCAATGTAGATCCACCATAAACATACTGTGAATGAGGAGATTGTAGGATTCAGTGGGATAATGACTACACCATTGTACCCAGTTAATGTTACTGTGTGTACTTAACATTGAACCGCTTTTCATGCAATTATTTTTGTCTTTCAGCTGCCTCGGAGGGGAGAGTCAACGGCGGTGAGGATTTCTTTCAGAAGGTGAGTGTGTGGTCTGGAGTAATCTGGGTATATTAGAGATCAACTGATATGGGTTTTTTCATGTCCAATGCCGATACTGATTATTTAGAATCCAGAGAAACCAATGGCCGATGAGCCATGCCGATATATTTGGGCCACTATCTAGAGCAGAATTTGATCATTTTCCTCAGATTATGCTATTTTAATGTACTACCACAAACTTTTGAGAAAGCTTTGTAGTCAATTTGTGCAGTTATATATTCATATGAAAGTTATATATTCATATTAAAGTGCTTTGCGTGTATTTTTTAGGCAGCAAAACATCCAAAACTAAATATCAGCCTGTTCTGGAGATTTAAAAGTGGAGGATCCATCAAATGCTTTTTTCCATGGAAATGTTATTGCTTTGTCTAGAATGTTTCACATTATGGCATTAAACCTTTCTATTTTCATGGAGACTAAACCAGATCAAGTTGCAAGAGGCAACCCTGCTCACAGTTAGAATGCCTGTATTTCTAGGTATTTTTGAGCTATAAAATCACCAGTAATTGAATAAATCTAAGGTAGAGCTGTGGATATCCATACTGTGGATCAATCCAGGCAGAGCAATGACATATCCACAGAAACAAGCAGGTCATAGACCCCCAACCAAAAAGTTACATAGTGCACCTTTAAGGCCAATATGCTAAAAAGTCCAAATATCAGCTATATTGGTCTATCTCTGCTTCATATTAGGCCTGTCATGATAACTTAACATTCAGTGCATGTTAGTTGAAACAATAATTTCTGGGGATAAATATTTATCGTGTGTTCTTTTTCTTAGTAAAAGTGTGGAACTTTTAGTTATTTTTCTGTTCTCCGATTATATTTAAGCTGTAGATGACTGAATAAATAACTTCTATGACTCATTATAGACTACAACACTAACTACTTAACTGTTTCATTCTGTTATTTATTATTGTAGTTTGTATTTTTTAAACAATATTGTGGCTTTATTGTGATATGTGAGCTACTGTGTCCAAATCATTTCCCTGGTGAATCAATAAAGTTTGTTCAAGTCTAAGTCTAATTTAGAATAGTCTTTTTTGGATCATTCGTATGGGTGGAATGAGACACAATTTTCACGAGGCGAGACACACCACGAGATGGGGTCCACGAGAACCGGACAAGATGAGATTTTGACATCATAAATAGTAAATAGTAGTGCAATCCATTTTACAGTTTTGTTTTCACTATTTTTATTTATTTTATGTTATACTTTACCAGTCATTGTAGTACTGATTTTTGGAAGTACAACTTCTCAAATTGTATAACTCACCAGATCTTAACTCTTTTCCAAGCAAAAGATCATTTTCCTCAGTTGTGTCTCACAAGATCTTGTAGCACGAGAACTTGTCCCATCCCTAATAATTTTGCTTCAGAGTTATTTTGTCAGTGATACAAATTAGTTTCAGTATTATCATTTATCATCTTTATTTTCTTCAGCAATTTATCATACTTCAAAATTTGTTATCATAACAGGCCTACTTGCTATTTCTTTGGGTTGCGTTCAAGTCCACCAGCCGTAGAGTGTTGTGTTGTGTTACAGATGTCAGGTGCCTTGAGTTTTTTGTCATCACTTTGTTGCTTATATAAATAAATAATGAACAACAGGAACACAGTGACGTTGGTGTCTGTGGGGGTCACATTTGTAACACAGCTGACACAACAGGGTTATATAATGCACAAGCAACGCATCTGGATAGCTATTGCATAAAAGTAAGATTGTTTAGCGTTTAACGTTCTTGGAGTTTTACTGTATGTGGGTATAGCAAGGATCTGGTTATGAAAGGCTCCCCAAAGTCAAAACTGGACTTCGCAAAAACAGTAGTATATCTTGTTCTTAAACATCTTGAACTGACTTAAATTTTTATTTATTAGACCAAAGAAAAATATAAATTTTCTAGGGATTGCAGGAAAATTGTTTATCATTATATATAGCATGAATTAAAGGTCCTATATTACAGAAAATTGACTCTTGTGAGCTTTAAGTCATGTTAGAGCATTGTTACCTCATCACAAACATACCTCGAGCTGTGTTTTGTTTCATTCACACGTTTAAGTAACCCTTTATTATTAGTTTGTCTACATCTCCGAAGCTCGAAATACGCTGTTGTAGTTTTCAAGTTAACACCGTCTTTATACTATTTGTTCTGATGAGATCGGCAGTTCCAGGGCTGAAATCATCCAAATTATTCTATTGAAGGTATATGGAGTTTAAAAACACAGTGGAGCACTTCCTGTATTATCACATGACATCATACGGTAGAATAGTGTGCTTTTAGTTTGAGAGAAGAACTCAGCCTAAATATGCGGGATTTGTGTGTTAAACGTTTGAATGAAATAAAACACAACTCCAGCTATTTTTTGATGAGGAAACATTATAATATAGATCAGAAAGTAGTGAAATATGGGCCCTTTACCTATTATATTCAACTAAGACAGAAATCTAGTGAGAGCTGACTTTAAACTTTAAAGTCAGATGCATTCAGACTACACCTGCAAGAGAGTTCATGCAAAACAGCTACTTCAAAATTCAGAAAAGCACTAGTAGGTGTATTTATGTAGAAAGGCAGATCAAACTCTTGATTCACTCCCAAATCTTCAGCTACCTCACTCCATGCATTCTTCTTTCTGCTGCTGTCCCAAATAAATTCTTATAATCTACATTTAAAATTTGCCAACTGATACACGTTTTGACTGATAAAGGCTCGATCAAGCAATGAATCAACTAAAGGAGGTTTACAGCCCTGTAGTTCAGGTTTTTTTTTGTATTAAATAGTGTAGTCTGGATATTGATAGTTTTCAGATTGTAAAATGTGATGATGCCATACTCCCAGATGGTGAGTAAGACACAGTTTTTCCTATTGATAATGTTTTACTTTGTCATGAAATACCCAAAAGGTAAATTTATAAATGTTGAACCGATCATTTCTATTTGTGACTAGACCCAAGAACTCACTGTATCGTGAAAAGCATCTGCATTCCAACTATATTAACTTTAGCTGCCCTGAAAACGACAAAATAAAATTAAAAATTGTAACCTATCAATATGAGGAGGAAAAATTATGTGTGTGCCCTTGTGTGAGAAACCTGTACCATTTCTCCACTGTCAGCAGAATGTCAGCACCACTCACACACAGGATATACAGTACAAAAATCTGTGATGATTTTCAGTTTCCACATTTTTCAAACAGTATTATTATTTATAGATTTTCGATTTATAAATCATTGACAGATTTATACAATTGAATGTCATTATGAAAATATGTGCTCTTTACTAGCGCCTAAATTTAACAAAATTCACTTCCCCTTGACCTACTTCTGTATCCATTATGTGTCCACAGTGTTTAGTGGTCAAAATTTTATACATGTCTAAAGCATAACAAGCCTTCCCTTACATCAACGCTGACATGTCAAACCATTAATATTACAATTCCGGATTGAATGTCACGTTTCTGAACTGAATTTGATAGGCCTAATAGCTAGTTTGTGCTTGTAAAAAGTATTCTGTGTAGCCATCACAGGGTTCAGGGTTCATGATGTTGTTCCTAATTTTCTTCTGTCAGTTGCGGTCGGTTGAGGAATCCCACAAATTGTCTGGTTTTCTCCCGTGCCTCCAGTGAGACCATTCTTGTTTAAAAACCCTGCTTCCTGGACAAATGCGGTGGCCCTCTTCAGTATGTTAATGGTGATAATGAAATACATGAATGGACAGTGGTTTGTTTTAGTGCGCTGCTTTTGTCTATTTTTCATATTTGGGTTTGGAGCATTCGGAGTTAAATGTCAAAGGAAGGGCCAATTTAACTGTCCTCGACATATTCAAAACCAAGTAATGCAAACCAGGCGCCTTATGATTCCCTCTGTGGAATTTTAACAAGATCTCCATACTGTGTCTCCACCTCTTTCAGCCCAGGGGGAGAGTTTTATTGTTTCAAATTTATATTATACATACTGTACAAGCCAAATGTTAGCCAGGTGTGAAAATCCCCCATTTCAAGTGAGATTCAAGGTATAAAGTGTAAATTCCTCTTGTGCAATTTTGATTAAATAATAGTGATTTCTTAGTGGTGTGGCTTGTGTTTTGGTATGTCAGATAATGATGATTGTTAAAGAAATTATTTCAGAGGCCCTAACAAGCATTTGGCTCTTTAAAGGTCGTATTATGCAAAAATTACTCCTCCTGTGAGCTTTTAGTCATGTTTGAATGCTGTAACCTCATCAAAAACATACCCAGATTTGTGTTTTGTTTGATTCACACAAGTTTGAGTAACCCTTTATTATTAATCTGTTTACATCTCTGAAGCTCAAAATGCTCTGTTCCACCGTGTGATGTCATGAAACAGTAGCGAAAGGAAATTCCAGGACTGAAATGAATGACAAATGATTCTAGTGAAGGTGTATGGAGTTTAAAAACACACTTCCTGTATTACCGCATGACATCATAATGTGGAACAATGTGTTTTCTGTTTGAGAGAAGAGCTCAGCTAAAGTATGCAGGGCTTGTCTCTTAAACATGAGTGAATGAAACAAAACACAACTTCAGGTATGTTTGTGATGAGGATACAACATAATAAACATACTGTAGATCAGAAAATAGTGTAATATTGGCTCTTTAAACTAAATTTACCGTTGCAATTTAGGGCCAGTGCCTTGAGACGAAGCTTAACTTGATACATGTTTTGAAATAAGATCCTAGTTTGCTTGACCATTGAAGATTGCACAGTTTTCTGTACAAACAAGTATAGTGTTATGTTCCAATGGGTGTAATTGACAGACTTGCATTGCATTGAGATACAGTGTTGTGGATGCTGACCAGACAGAGAGATTTTCTATATTAGAAAATGCATGAGAACTACACTGAATGCCAGGCTAGATCATGGTGCTTTTTACATGTATAGGATTTAGAACATCTGGTTTATACGTTATATTGTCACAAGTCTATCAGGTGAAATAGAGCAGAGTTATTTTAGCAGGAAGCT